AACCGATGAAAACCCTGGAACTAATGGTAAGGAGTAGGTTCAGCGAAGTGGCAAATTGTAAGACACCACTTAGATACCAGTCCCGTTTCCAACATGTGGAAACGGAAATTAGAACTGAAGTCCTCCTGTAGTCACTACTATGAAAACAAAATCTTAGGTATGCTGAAGATAACAGTGGGTTCATGAAAGTAATCGAAGACACTCTAGTCTTGGATTGGAAAATTCCAGTTTTCCTAAAACTGAATATAGGTTTACTACAATTAACATTAAAATCTCAGCGAGGTTTTGTTTTTTGTTTTTATTTTTTTAGACAAAATAAGCTTATTCTAAAACGAATTTGTCAAGGCTAAAATGGCTAAAACAGCCTTGACAAGGAGAGAAAAGGGAGAAGGATCACTTCCTGATGTTAAGGCACACTACCTCACTGTGTTTATCAACACTGTGTGTTAAGAGGGATAGAAACAGATCAGTGGAACATTGTGGAGAACCCAGAAATAGACACACCCAGATGCTCAAGTGATTTTTGACAAAGTGCAAAAGCAGTTAAAATGGAGAAGGGTTCACTTTTCAGCAAATGAGGCTGGAGCTAGCGGACATCCATGGGTTAAGAACATGAACCCAATTTAAATGTACGCTTTCTATAGATACTAAATCAGAATGGATGATGGAGTTTTTCTCTGACTGATTTATTGCACATGGCACGACACCCCCTGGCTCCATCCACTTTGTTGCAGACGGCAAGATTTCATTCTTCCTGATGGCTGTGTACACACACACACACACACACACACACACACACACACACACTCTGTATGGTTATTCACCAGACCACGGACATCTAGGCTCTCCGAGAAAGACAAACACCATGTGATCTCACTCACGTGGCATTGAAGAAACAGATGAACATATGGGAAGGGAGGAAGGAAGAAAAGGAGACGGGGAAACAGGCCTTAAGTGACTTTTTTTTTTTTAAGATTTTATTTATTTATTTATTAGGAGTGAGCACAAGGAGGACTGAGGAAGAGGGAGAAGCAGACTCGCTGCTGAGCAAGGAGCCCGATGTAGGGCTCAGCCCTAGGACCCTGGGATTGTGACCTGAGCCAAAGGTAGACGCTTCACTGACTGAGCCACCTGGGTGCCCACCATATGTGACTCTTAACAATAAAGAACAAACTAAAGGTCCATGGAGGGAGGTGGGTGGGGGGTGGGCTAGGTAGGGGATGGGCATTAAGGAGGCACTTGTGATGAGCACTGTGTGTTGAGTGTTAGTGATAAATAGCCGAATTCTGTTCCTGAAGCCAATATTGTACTATAGGTTAACTGACAAAATTTAAGAAAAAGTAGATCATGGATTTAAGTGAAGATTGTGAAAGTTTAAAACTTAGGAAAAAAATGTAGGAGAAAATAATCAGAAAATCTAGGGCAGGAAAATTGTTCCTAAACACCAAAAGCACAATGCATGAAAGAAAAAAAACCTGATAATTGCATCTCATTAAAAGAAAAAAGATTTGTGCCTATGAAAGATATGGTGAAAACACAGGCTATAAACCATGTAGCGGACAAAGATTTTTATATCTGGAATATGTACAAACTGAACAGAGAGGAAAAATCAAATTAGAAAATGAACGGAAGATGGAAGAGACATTTCTGCAAAGATGATTACAGACGGAGAATGAACACACGAGAAGATGTTCCATGTCATTAGTGCCCCGTGAACACAGACTGAAGCGTGGCGTGCAGCGCACAAGGAGCAGAGGGGCTGCAGCGCTGTCACTGACGTGAGGGAGGTGGGTCGGTCGTGTGTTTTAGTGGGAGCGTCAACGGTGACACTTACTCTGGAAGATCATTGGATCGTCTCCTGAAAAATTAAATACGCAGTTATTGTATGACCCACCAGTGGAACTCTTGGATCTTTTATCACAAAAAATATTAATACAAGTTTACACAAAAGCCTATATGTGAGCGCTTACTGCCCGGGTTGTTCATACTAGCCCTGTGCCAGACACCAACCAGATACCCTGAATGGGTGGGAGTCCGAGACGTAGTTGCACAGCACCCCGGGGTGTAGCATGTTCAAGAAGCACAGGGTCTGCCACTGTGTGGCTTGCTGTCCGGAGGGGAGGGAAAAATAAAAAGCATCCAGTGATTGAAGTTACCTAGTTTAAACAAACACGATGAGTGCTTCACAGGATAAAATGGGAAGGGAATAAAGAGTAATGGTCTGAAAGTGAAATTAAGAAAAAAAATTCTATTACGATAGCATTAGAAGGAATAAAATACTTACAAATACAATTACTGTTAAGAATAAGCAACAGAGGGCACTCGGGTGGCTCATTTGGTTCGGCGACCACCTTCAGTTCAAGTCATGATCCTGGAGTCACAGGACTGAGTCCCGCATCGAGCTCCCTGCTCAGCAGGGGGTCTGCTGCTGATCCCTCTGACCCTCCCCCCTCACGCTCACTCACTCTCATTCTCTCTCTTTCAAATAAATGAATAAAATCTTAAAAAAAAACAACAAAACAGTCTATAGGCCCTTATGTACTCTGCCTGGGAATTTCCTATTAGTTAAATGTTACAAGTAGTTTCTTCCCTGGTGTGCTATGTTGAAGAGAGATTGTTAATTTTGATGAAGTCTACCTTATTAGTCTTTTCATTTATGGTTAGTTGGGGATTTTTGTTTTGTTTTTTAAGTTTTTGTTTGTGGAGAAGGAGGAGTCTTGTTAGGTTTGGTGGGGAAGAAATCCTTCCCTACCAAAATGTTATGAAAATATTCTATAGTTATCTTTTAGGGCTTTTAGTTTTGACTTTGGAATTTAGAAGCAGAATTTCTTTGGAACAGATTCTCATGTTTTGATTGATAGTATTGATTGCCTCCTGTCGTCTCATGTAGATATCTAAGTTTCCTGGTACTGTTTATTGCAAAGACCGCGATTTCCTCATCGCTCTGCACTAGCACCCTTCCTCGTTAATCTGGTGTCCATTTTTGGATGGCCTCCCTTCTAGAGTCTCTGAGATCGCATTGGTATAAGTACCTATTTTAGTAGAATACCATCTTGCCTTAATTGCTCTGTTTTAATATTTCAATTTTGTTACATTATAGACTCAACCTTCCGTGTTTCTCACATTTGTCTTCTTCATTCTTGGCCTTTACATTTTCCTCTAAATATTAGGAATACCTGGTCAGTTCCTCCCAAAATACATGTTAAGATTTTGATTGGGTTTGTGTTAAAAATATAGATCAATTGATAGGCATGTGACATCTTTGCGTTCTGATTTTGGAAAATGATGTGTTCTGTGTCTTTCGGTTTTATGTAATGTCTTTCAGTAATGCTTGTTAGTTTTCGTTTAGAGAACTTGACTTCCTCGTCTTATTAGTTATAGTCTGATCTCAGTTTTCTTATCGCTGGAATGAGCATATCTAAAAAATACTTTATTGCTGTTTATTACTTGTGTTTATGTACTTGTTTTCTGGGCCATTAATTTTTTTTTTAAGTTTTATTTATTTATTTGATAGAGAGAGGGTATGAGAAGGGGGAGGGTCAGAGGGAGAAGCAGACGGCCTGCCGAGCAGGGAGCCTGATGCGGGACTCAGTGCTGGGACTCCAGGATCGTGACCAGAGCTGAAGGCAGTAGCTTAACCAACTGAGCCACCCAGGCGCCCCAGTTTTTTTTATATTTGCTTACATCCTTGTACTTTCTTTGGGGTTCATTGGCTTTTCCCCTCTGCTTTCAAGGGGATATTTAGCTTGTGTTTTTAGCTTCCTTTATATATTGTATGCATTTAAGTACATACATTCTCCTCTTAACACTTACCTTTGGCTTTGGCAGAATGGTTTCACACACTTTGCTGCATGAAATTGAGTTTTTGTTATCATTCCATTAAAAGCATTTTCTAATTTCCATTGGGATTTCTTTTTTTTTTTTTAAGATTTTATTTATTTATTTGACAGACAGAGATAACAAGTAGGCAGAGCAGCAGGCAGAGAGAGAGGGGGAAGCAGACTCCCCGCTGAGCAGAGAGCCCGATGCGGGACTCGATCCCAGGACCCTGAGATCGTGACCTGGGCTGAAGGCAGAGGCTTAACCCACTGAGCAACCCAGGCCCCCCTGGGGTTTCTTTTTTGACTGAAGAGTTCTTTAGATCTTAATAATTGACCCTTCTTCATTCCTGTTAGAAAGAGGTAGCTTTATCCCACAACATCTCATTTTTACCTCTAACGACGTATGTTTGTTTGTTTTACTCGCTTACTGACAAGTAATCCGTTTCTTTACCGTGTGTGGGTCAATCTTACTGAGGTCTTAAAACTGTAGCATACTTTATGAAATTGTGCAAAGTGTTCTTACTGTATATTTTTTCTTTAGTTTGATACAGCTTTTCCAGTTGACAAAATCACTAGTAATGGTTAAATGTATGAATAGTGAATACTTATATAAGTTTATATGCTATAAGTACCTTTGAGGTTTTGTTCTTTTCTGTCTTACGGGAGACTGTCTCTCAGATTTGTAGGGTTTTTTTGGTTTGTTTGCTCAGTTGTACATTTATTCATTTAGTCAACATTTAGTAAGTGTTTTATTTATGATGTGTTCTGTTTTGTGTTAGGCTTTGGAAGAATCCTATTCTCACTTTCCAGGGCTATTTACTCTACTAGGGAGGACATAATTTTTTATAGGGCAAAAGCTGCTATATTGCATGTATGAGTTTAGTTAACAGGCCACAGAAAAGCCAATATTTAACATTTTTCAGAAATGGAGCAGTTTTCAAGTCATCACAGATGCTGTTTTCATGGTTTGTTAATGGGGGAAAGAATCGTAAAAAAGTCCAACTAAAAAATTAATTTAAATTAATTTTACAAATTATACAAATTATTGTTAATTGCTTCAGTATAAATTTTAATTATAACTTTTTTTAGTTTTTACTAGCTATTTCTACTTTGTAATGGAATGGTATTACTTTATAAATTTGCATATGGATAATTAGTGTTTTATATTACTTTCTGCAGAATCAAAGAATTCCATCGGACATGGTATTTCTTAGGACATCAGAAAAAGCAGGTATTTTTATTTGTATTTAAATTGCAGGTCATTTAGTATTTTAGTTTAATTTTCGCTTTGAAAGGTAAAAGTTAAATTTATTGTTATAAAAAGTTTTCTTCGAATGATAATACATTGAATTAATTCTAAATCACATTTAACTATGATATTTAATATGATCTTTACTGTATATGTTTGTTTTTAAAAATATAATCCTATCACAACCTTTAAATCAAATGAGTGCTTTCATTGAAAGCTGTATTGCTATCTAAGTAATTAAATGATGTTGCTTGAAATTTGATTGCTATTCTGTATTTGCAGTTTTATTAATTCAGCAAACGTTTATTTACTATTACTGTGTGGCAGGCACAACTTGTCTGTCCCCTGGGACACAGAGGGAGCGAGACTGAGTTGTTCCCTTCACCGAGGTCATAATCAACTTATATGTGGATATACAGCCATTGACAGTAATGCTCTGACTATACAGATAGTGTAAGTCACACAGACAGTGTGTAGGTGACTTGAAGTGGGCTTCACAGGGTAAATGGTATTTATATTACCTGGGCTCTCCCCAGTGAGAAGAAGGTTTGGAAAGGGGAAATGAGACAGAAGTCTCATATCGAGGAGAAGAGCTGTGTGTTAGAAATCAGGAAACCCAAAATCTAGTCTGCTTTGGCCAATTCTTAATTATATGACGTAGACACATGGTCACACATTTTCTTAACGTCTAAAATAATGGAGAGGTTTGTCAGGCAATGCCCAAGTTCCTTTTGCCTTGTGTTTCTGACTCTATTGAATAAATGGACAATATTTTTATGGAAAGCTCAACATGTTATTATTATTTTTTTTTAAAGATTTTATTCATTTACTTGACAGACAGAGATCACAAGTAGGCAGAGAAGCAGACAGACAGAGAGAGGTGGAAGCAGGCTCCCTGCAGAGCACAGAGCCCGATGTGGGGCTCGATCCCAGGACACTAGGACTATGACCTGAGCCGAAGGCAGAGGCTTTAACCCACTGAGCCACCCAGGTGCCCCTCAACATGTTATTTTTTATTAGAAATTCAACATATGTATTATTACCTACAGTACGGTGAAAACTCTAGAAAGCACGAAGTTAAATTTTAAAGTTCTTAATTAATTAATTTTCATTTTTAAATAATCTCTACACCCAGTATGGGGCTCGAACTCATGACCCTGAGATCGGGAGTTGCGTGCTCTTCCAGCTGAGCCATCCAGGCACTAGAGTTGTTAATTTAGTTTTTCTCCATGTGTAAACAGCATTTTTTAAAAGGGATATCCTGAGAAAGAAAATAAATGTTTTTTCACCAACTGTAGTTACGGTTGTTTACATTGTCAGATGAGGCTGTGTTAGCAGGAGAAGAGTCCAGCGACCCCAGTACACCTGCTGGGTAGCGTGTTCCTCCGTGGGCAGCTTTGTCCGTCTGTGCAGCAGACTGGAGAGCTCCTCTTCAGTCTGTTTCGCTTTCTTCTCAGAAACACAGTGGACTCCCTTTCCTGTCCCGTGAGATGGGCTGTGCCCTGAGGTCTGGCCAGGAGAGGCCAGCTGACCGCCTCCGGGCCCGGTCCGCACCGCTCTCGCAGCCGTCGCCTCTGTCCTTCCCGGCGCCGGCGCGGCGTCCGGGACAAGGGTGATCTTCGAAGCCGTGTGATGAAGACTGCGGTTTCCCGCACGGGTTCTTGACTGACCGTGTGGGACAGAGCTCTTTCCTCTTCCCTGTAGCCGACTCGGAGAGAAGCGATGGAGTCCCAGACCTCGAGCGCTGGTCTCCCTGGGTGGCCCGTGTTCTGTCCCAGGGGTGGCGCAGCTCCAGCTCTTGCTTTCACTTCTTGCTTGTGCGGAGCTTCAGGGCCGCCCAGGTGTGAGAGGGAAAGGCCTTTCAGGTTTTTCTGGGCGTGTGTGCAGCTCTGCACAGGCAGGCGGCTTTCCGACTCCCAGGAATGTATTAGAAGTTTTCAGAGCCTCCTTCAAGTCTTCTAATTTTCCAGGTTTTCTTTAAGTTTTTTGTTTACCACAGTTTTATCACCAGCTGAGGTAGCTGTGGTGTTAAACAATTGCCACTGGTTGTTTTTTGACAAACAGTCCAAAGACAACACTGTTATAATAAACGGGCTCTGGGTCAGGTCAAATTCAGGCAAAGCCGTACTTGGTCAGGTGATTACAGTTCTCTGGGCATGGATTTGGGAAACTCCAGGCCTGATTGTCCCGATCAGTGGTTGCTGGAATATCCGTTTTCTCAGCTACTGTGGAACCGAGGAGTAGGGAGAAGAGGGTTTGGGAATGGGAGATGTCAGAACACCACACAGCTCACGCTCAGCTTGATTTAGCCGTGTTTCTCGAATAAATGCACCTGGGATTGTTGACGGTGTTTGATTATTCTCGAGTTCTGAAAAAGTAGCTTTTGATTATTTTTACTGATGTTCTCTCTCTTATAGTTATGGAGAAATGGATTTTCGGGGATTTTTACATTTCCATCTCTGTTTACATCACCCACTTGTTTATGATGTTTGTCTTTGTTTCTAAAGGAATTCAGTATAATGAATAGCCGACATGTTTGCGCTTGAGAGCTGCTTTTGTATTACTTGCCCTCTTAATGACTGGTAGAAATATATATGAGATTAAGAATATTATCCTAGGGGCGCCTGGGTGGCTCAGTGGGTGAAGCCTCTGCCTTCAGCTCAGGTCATGATCTCAGGGTCCTGGGATCGAGCCCCACATCAGGCTCTCTGCTCAGCGGGGAGCCTGCTTCCCCCTCTCTCTCCGCCTGCCTCTCTGCCTACTTGTGATCTCTGTCTGTCAAATACATAAATAAAATCTTTAAAAAAGAAAAAAAGAATATTATCCTAAATATGGAAATGGTTTTCAGATAATTAACTTAAAGGAAATAAGGTTTGGTTAGAAGATAAAAGATGAAGGAAATCCAGCACTTTAAAACTGGGAGATGATGAGAACTCTTCATTTTCTAGAGGAGTCTGAAGGCTGAACAACTTACGAAGGCCTTGTTGAAGGTCACGTGACTAACAGCAGTTTTAGTTCTCAGCCTCTGAGTAACTTACAGCAGCAGCACAGAGATAGAATATTAGAGCATTAGGCAAATGAGATACTCTGTATTATATTAGCTTTGGATCAATAACATTATACCTAACTGATGACATTTAAAAAAAACATTTTCTTTGCCTCTAGTTTTCCCTTGGCTTTCATGTTATAGGGACGTGTTGTAGTGTAATGATACTTAATATTTTGGAGGTCCTAGATCTCTTCGAGAATCTTTTTTTAAAATTCTTTGAAGAGATTTTTATTTATTTGACATAGAGAAAGCACAAGCCGGGGTGGGGGTAATGGAGAGGGAGAAGCAGGCTCCCCGCTGAGCAAGGATCCTGATGGGGAACTTGATGCCAGGACCCTGGGACCATGACCTGAGCCAAGGCAGACGCTTAACTGACTGAGCCACCCAGGCGCCCCTGTCTTTGAGAATATTAAGAATTACCACCTTGTTCCCCAAGAAAGTGTATATAGTGGCATGTATGCTATATTATTGGATCTGACTTAAGACCTTACTGTAGTCTGTTCAAGCTTACAGTTTCTTATTTGTTTGTTTTTAAGATTTTATTTATTTATTTGACAGAGCACACAGGCAGGGGAGCAGCAGAGGGAGAGGGAGAAGCAGGCTTCCTACCGAGCAGGGAGCCTAGCCTGACTTGGGACTCGATCCCAGGATCGTGGGATCCTGACCTGAGCTGAAGGCAGATACTTAACTGACTGAACCACCCAGGTGCCCCTAAGCGTACAGTTCTGTTACATTTCTCAGTTTTATTATTTTTTTCTATCAAATTTTAATTATCACAACAAAGTTATTTAAACAAAGTTAAAATCATCACTGATTGTAGATATACAGATACTAAAATGTCAGATTGCTATTTCATGCTGTTTTCCCTCTTTTTCTAAAATTTACCAAATAGCTTCCCAGCTGGATAAAATGTGTGTCATAGTATTGCTTTAAATCAGGAATTCTTAGCTTTGGAAATTCTGTTTCTGCAACCTTAAGTGATTATTTTAAAATTTTTAATTGTCTCTTTTTCAAAAGTACACATATTTAGAATTTTTGTATATCAACTGACACTATTGATATTATTTTATTACTTTTCAGTTTCAGTTCAGAAGAATCTGATAGCGCATTGTCTGTTAAAAAAAAAATCTTGGGGTACTTGCGTGGCTCTGTCCTTAAGCCTCTGCCTTTGGCTCAGGTCATGGTCCCTGGGTCCTGGGATCGAGCCCCGCATTGGGTTCTCTGCTCAACAGGGAGCCTGCTTCTCCCTCTCCTGCTCCCCCTGCTTGTGCTCCCTCTCTTGATGTATCTCTCTTGGTCAAAGAAATAAATAAAATCTTTACAAAATAAAAGATAAATAAAAATCTTCAAACCCTAGCCAGTATAAAAGTCTCAAATCTCTGTGGTGTGTCCAAGCTTGGACATTTGCAGTTCGGGGAGGCTCTGTGGTGCCACGTTGGCTGTGTGTGAACGTGGGGCCTTCTGCGGGGCCGGCATCCAGTTGTCCAGAGTGCAGATGCAGTCGACGGGTCCGGCTCGGAGGGCTTCGATTCCAATTAATCAGTTGCTTCATTGGTTTCTAAATTCAGATCAAATATCTCCTGAATGCACACAATCCTGTTAGTGGTTTTAAGAGAAATTAATGCTTTAGAACTGATTTTCATCAGTCTCTTATAAATGCCAATATCTTTTTCACTTGCCTCCTAAGTGATGACATTATAGTCGAAGTGTTTGGGACGTAGTACAATGGCTCAGCTGTCACCTGTTAGTGGGGCGGGGGTAGGTAAATGACACTGTACTCGCCCACATTCTCTCCCTGGTGCTATTCATCTTCCCAGCAGCTTAAGAATTTCATGCAGAGTCATTAAGTCATATAAATGATTTAGGAATCAAGTTTAATGGCGAACGATCCGGTATTACATATGCAAAGTCAATGTCTATTTTTCTTTTGCTG